CGCGGGCGGGGGCAGCAGGAGCCCCGGGCCCCGAGCCCCGAGCCCCGAGCACTAGAGCAAAGGCGCCAGCTGGCATCAGGGCTCTACGGGCAGCCACGGGCTCAGCCGGCTCAGCCACAGGCTCAGTGGGCTTGGGCTTTCAGCCACAGGCTCAACCACAGGCTCAGCCACAGGCTCATTAGCCGCAGGTTCATTTCGCCCGCTCGTCCATGTGCCACCCGAGTCTGCGCCCCGTGCGTGCCCTCACCTCACCTGGCCACGCCGCGGCCAATTTCGCGACCTGGTAACAGAAGGCACCACCATCAGAGATGGTGGTGCCTTCTCGGCGAGAGCGAAAGGCGCAAATCATGTCACTGTGCGAGTGTGGCGCCTGTATGTGGAATAGTACAGGGTTGCATACTCACACGGGGCCGTTAGGCGCCGCGGTTAGCGACGGTAAACAAGCCCGACCGCACGCCTGCATGCTGTACAGCATAAGCAAAATAAAGGAAGGGGTCTGTGGACCACCCTGTATGATAACGAGCTCGTCCACGGTATGTAAGCCACCCTATAACGGAGCAACCACAGAACACAATTTAACTACTCGTCGCTTGATTGAAAAAATTGTTTCCAAAACGACCTCTCCTTCATGTCCGTTCCCCACTCCCCTCTTCATTAAATTTCCACGGATCGGGAAGTTGTCCTTGTCAATGAGGTATTTTATTGGAATAAAGAAGATCAGGAAGAGCATGCCAGAAACATCACAAGCCGTCAATTGTTTTTCAGAAATCGTCTGCAAAAACAGTTGAAAAGCAGATAATTTCCGAAAAACAATTGAAGCCTTGTGATGTTCTGGCATGTTCTGCCTGATCTTCTTCATTCCAATAGAATACCTCATCCACGCCACCAACCACACGGTGAAATAGCCACGGATTTTAGTCTCGGACGCCCCGCCCCTCCGGGACGAGTAAACGGTATTCATGAATGACTCCGCGCCCCGCCCCTCCCCGTCACAACCGACCCAACAATCATCATCCCCCGCACACACTAGAGCACGGCCCCGGCGTGGTCGGCGCGGTCGGCCCAGGCGGGGTGGGGCAGGGCGGGGCCCGGCCCGGGGGGTTGCGGTGCGATAATACGTTACAGCCGCTTACACCACAGGGGGGCGACCCCAACCACCGGAGCGGGAGGGAGGATGGGGGGAGGGGGTGCCGTAAAACGCAAGGCGGTGAAAGCAATTACGGTCAGCATGTAGGCCAGCGAAGGCGACAGCAGGAGGGCAGGAGGGTACTTCGGCAACGTGCTGTTCGTTGTGTTGGAGGTTGGCGGGGAAGGGAGAGGGGCTCTGCCGCGTCTCCGTACATGCGTCCTCTCCCCGACCAGTCAAGACAGGTCCCGGCCCGCATAGGGGTTGCGGACGACCGGCTCAGGGACCGATCGACGACCCCAGGTCGACCCCAGGGGGAGAGCGGTCGTTAAGAAGAAGGCCTCCAAAAGTGATCGTCGGCTCAGGCGACAGGCGACAAGCTAAAGGCAGAGCTGAGGGCAGGGCAGCGGCGACTACATACACTGTCTCATTAGATCTCTCAAAAGGAAGGTTGCCCTACAAATTGACGTGAACGACATCGAAATTAAAATTTATTTTGGGTGTGTCTGCGATCCTCCAAGTTTCGCTCCTTAGACATAAGGAAATATTGAAAACGAAATTGCACCGTGACTAAACCCCGCCCTTCTGCTCTGAAAAAGAGAACAAATATTTACCCTCCGATGTAGATTTGGTGTAGTCCAGGGGACATTAGAAATAGGCAAGGTCAGCCTTCGGCTTTATATCGTTTTTCAAAAAATCAAGAAAAATCGTCTTTTTGTTTTAAAAAAATCTTTTTGTAACTCCCATACGGTTGTGCTCTTTGTTTTGGGTATGTCTGGATTTCTTTTTCTTTTCTTTTTTCTTGAAGGGGGAGGAGGTTCTATAAATTTTTGATTAGTCGTTTCCGCCACTGTTAGAAAAAAAATACAGTCAGTATCGGTCATACACTGCCTGGTTGTACCGTACTTCATGAGAATGGTGTCTTGAGTACGGAGTACAAGAATTTTTAACATGGAGCCTGAGGGCTCGTCCAGAAAGTACGTACGTTTTTTTTTCTCAGATTCGTTCGCCAAATTACGAGAGCTCGGCGCCTGCAAGACTCCGGGTAGGCCATCCCGCTGTACACTCATGCATTGCAGTCAAGATGTTGCCTACCTGTAAGGCGCCATGAGAGCTAACACAGGCTGAACTTGTCAATTTCATAACGGACTGTCTGAGTGATCTTTTACGGGCACTCCAGTGAATTAGTATGATGTTCTTACCTCATCATGTAACTGTCGTTGTCTTGTACATTGCTCGACATTGCTCATTTGGTACAGTATTTACCACAGTTCAGCCGTACCATTTCCTGCACCTGTACATGTAGGCTAGAGGCTAGGCACAGGATTTACCGTGCGGTTGTTACATCGTATACCATTTAATGTGGGTGCAGCCACCTGTCGCCCAGTCTCCCTCTCCACCTGAGCGACGAATCACAGACCACCGCTTGTTGATCGTGCTGCTCTTCTTTCCCCTGAAAAAGCTTATAGCGACTGAACATTGGATATACTAATTACCTCGTGAACCGAGAATATTCAAAGTTGGCGCTGACTCGTGAACAAAGGCCTGCCCATTTGTTTACATCAGGCTTCAGGGCGCTTCAGTGGGTGGGGCTCTCGTGGCAACTGTGCTGAGGTGAGGGGAGGGGAGGGGAACAAGTGAGTGGCGGTATACCTTTCAGCACTCGGTTCGCCACCACCCCTCCAAGTCTCCCAGCACCCCTCGGGCAAACGCGTGCACATACACACGCGCACATGCACGCAACACGCTCACACACAGACACGCGCGCGCGCGCACTCACACACATTCACACACAGAAAAGGGGGGGGGGGGGATACAGACTACACTATAACCTTGACTTGACGAACCGCGATGGGTGTTCTGAAATGGCAAGACAAAGCTTTGAACCAAACCATGACCTAGACGTAGCAGATTTGGTCGCTTCGAATAAAAAAAAGAAAAAAAAAGCTCACAGGGCTAAGAAATAGACAGTCATGCCACAAAACCAATAGGAGACTGTCCAAAGTCTGAATTAAGAATCGATGATTGAAATCAGATGATATACTTATTTAAGATGAGGACTGTGTTTCAAACTTCCCCTCATATTTAGGAATGCTTTAGGAAGGCGTCTTACCTGAGGCTGAGGGGAGAGGGAGAGAGCAGGGCGAGGGAAGGCCCAGTATGTATCGTTGGGTAAGAATGGCACTACTAGGTGGGGCACGACCACGACTTATGCCCTATGCCTTCCTACTTGTTACACGACAGAACAAGCATTCTGACACATTTAGGTGTTGGTATCAATTAAATTGTTACAAATGGATCATCTGCTGAAAACCCGGCATACGCTTGGATTGTTCTCTAGGGCTGATTTAGGAGTGAAATAGCATGCTTTGTTTACACGTGGCTCAAGCAGTTTTAAGCACGAAGTAATTACACCCTCTAGCACAAGTTACACGATGACCTGAAGTTCAGCGAGCTCCATGTTCTCATGGCACGTGTCGCGAGCTACAATCAAGGCTAAAATGCTTTCTTTCAGTACCAACGGAGCTCGATTAACCCGGATCAACCTCAGGGCATTTGGGGGCTTGGATAGTGCAACGCGCTTGCCTTTAGACCAATAAGTCACGCTTTTTAGGGTGTTGTTTAGTGGAAGCGAGTGGGCGAAGCTACCTGCAAGCTACCTCGGCTACCTGTCACCTGTCTGGTCGAAGTGGTGTAGACTTAATTGGGAAACACGAAGTGAAGGCAACAGGTCGTCTCCGTGTCTAGAGTAGACGCCCCGGCGGAAAAAGGCAACCCATTTGACAGCTATTCGGCTGAAACATCACAAACGAGCGCTATCGCTTTTTATTTTCCTGTCCGTGCCATGTGTGAACTGAGCGCCGTGTTCGGTGTGAGTAGGCAACACATTTGGCAGCTGGTGGTACTGCCACAATAAAAGAAATTAGCCTTTGATCTTTTCCGACAGTCCCACGAGGCTGTCTTTACCCGTAAGTAAATATTCCCCGTTTTGATAAAGATTGCCGGTTCACGTTCCAGTTTCGAGAAAGATTGCCGAGTAACGTTCCAGTTTTGATAAGCCGATGATTGACGTTGATAAAGATCCGTTTGCCGTTGCCGCACGCTTAACAAACTAGGGTCTCCGCTAGAACCTAGATGGGAAGTGAGAGGAACAAAACCGCGCCTGTCTTCCCTTCCCTGACTGGGCGAAGTGGGGG